AAATATTTGCTAGCTAGCCCTTTACAAAGGGCATTTGCTGACCCCAGCTCTACCCAAGAAAACTAGGAGCTTAATGCAACTCTAGATGCATCTGTTTTCAGGGCCAGAAAGCCAGCCCAGCCCCCACCCCAGTGTGTGCACAGTGACTTCCCCCAGCAGGACAGATGTGGGACGATCCCATGATTTGTCCCCATTTGGAAGTCATTTGACATTTTCTTAAAAGCACTCTCTGCAACCCACCCTTTGGTGCCGGGGAGCCCTGGCCAGGGCTGGCGGGTCTAGAGGGGCCCCAAACCTGGGCCCTGTCCACGCAGCAGGGCGCAGGGCAGCCCTTGGGAAGGTGCTTATTATTCTATTTATCCACACCCACCCTTTCTCCCCCTCCCTCTGCCCCTCCCCCCTCAAGACGCGTTGTCATGGAGTCCACCAGATTGCTGGGGTGGGCCAGATTCTCTCAAAGTGACGGTTTCATGGTGCTGACTCAATTTGTAGGCAGGCAGCATGAAACTGCACTGTAATCAGCTTTAAGAGCAAAACTAATTAAAACACCAGTTGGGGACTCCAGGGGGTGGGGCAGCTATCTGCCACCGGCCTCCCCAACCTAAAAAGTTGGAGCCTGAAAGAGCAGGGGGCAGGTGGTCCCCGAGGCTCTGCCAGCAGGTCCGCGTGGCCTGGGGAAGGGGCCCTCTACCGTCACTGGCTTCGCCCCTCCTCCTCCTCTCTCTCTTCTGGAAATAGTCTTCAGTTCTTATTTGGGATCAGACCTTTCTGACTCTCAGTTGGGGAGGGGCTGGCCCCATCCCCAGCCCCTGGGACAGACAGGTGGCCAGGCCCAGGCAATCAGCACCTAGAGCCGCTGACCCAAGCCAATACAAGTCACCCGGGCCAGCAGTTTGAACAGTGAGGGAACAGAGTCTCATTTACACGCACATTTTCTCACTCTGTCCTCCTGGAGTGGCCGTCAGCCGGCTCGGGCATCGCCTCCTGACCTCTGACCTGCTGGTAGGAAGTGCTCCTGGGTTCCAGGCTTGGATGTGTCCCCTCTAGCCTCTCCTTGGCTCAGGGCAGGAGCCTAGCAAGCGCGCGTGCTCCTTTTATAGATGAGTAAACTGAGACTCGGAGGCTGGGGACAGGGTCACACAGCCCCTAAGCAGAAGGGACCCAGGAAGGAGCTGTCTCCCCAGGGATGCTCCCGGGAGCCTGTGTCCCTCTGCACGGAGCAGGAGGCCCGGCGCCCTGAGTCAGCGTGTGGCCGCCAGCGAGCTGCTGGGATCAGCAGAAAACCCAGGCTCCTTCCCAGAGGGCTTTGAAGGGCCTGGGCCCAGGGAAAGGGAAGGACATGAGTGTCCTCAGACAGTGAGGAGCAGAGGAAGCCCTGGGTCACCTGGGGGCAGGTGCCCCACCTCCCACTTCCAGCCCCGGCCTTTCCCAGGCCCCTCGCCCCACCCCACCCCCACCCCCGCTTCTGTTTTGCTTTGTATTTTCTTTTAAAGTTTCCTTTGTTGTTACCACTTAAAACAAATAAATAAATAAAGCCAACCAACAAAGCCAACATCTGGAAAGCTTTGTGGGAAATGGCATCCTGCTCTGGGGACCCGCCCTCCCGCAGCGCAAGTGCCCATGGGATTCCCAACTGGCCCCCAAATGCTCTCAGAGGAGAGGCCAGGCCGGCGCTCTGCTCCCCCAGCACTGTCCTCCTGGGAGGGTCACGGCCCTCCCACATCACCAGGGCTCCCTGACCAAGCACACACCCCTGGCTCCCTCCCTCTCGGCCCACCCCGGCCCCACCCATCCATCCACCCCCCCACCCCGGGGGCTCTCTCCCACTCCCATCTCAGACCTCCACCTCCCTCCTCCAGGTCCCCTTTCCTCTCCCCTCCGGTCCCCTCTTTCCCGTCCACTGCAACTTACTCCTCCCCGACCCACTACTGCTGAAGGTATCTTCCCAAAAGAACCGCTCAGATCAGCGCACCTCTGCCCTGCTCCACAACATTCTCTGGCTCCCCATTGCCTCCTGAAAGAGACGCGTTTCTGGTTGCGATGGCGAACCTCCCTGAGGCGGATTCTAGTTATGTTTTTCCAGCATTCCTTTTGTCCTTTCTTGGGTGACTCCACACTCAGTGGTCTTCCTAGAGGGCAAGGGATTGACAGCTCCCCAACTTTGAGTCCACATGGTTGGGGGGTCTCACTCAATCCATCCCAGGTCTGAAGATGGCTGTGTGACCCAGGCAGGACTGATGCATAGACAATACACCCCTGAACAAGGAATGGGTTCAGTGATGGCCATATGACCCAGGACCACCTCTCTCCATCTGTCTCTATATATGGGTGTTGTTGGGAGACGAGGCAGGTCAGGAGTTGCCGAGGGCCATCTTGCTACCACGAGAAGAGTTTCAGCTCAGGGCAAAGTAGAGCTATATGAGATCAAAAAAGAACTAGCCGCCATGGCGGTACATGCCTGAAATCCCAGTGGCTTGGGAGGCTGAGGCAGGAGGATTACGGGTTCAAAGCCAGTGTCAGCCAAAGCAAGACACTAAGCAACTCAGTGAGACCCTGTCTGTAAATGAAATACAAAATAGGGCTGGGGATGTGGCTCATTGGTCGAGTGTCCCCCAAGTTCAATCCTTGGCACCACCCCCCACGTAAGGAACTAGTATTTAAAGCATCTTTAAGCCCCTGGATACAGCTGTGCCTGAAGTTACACAATCACCCACTCGCCACCCGCCAGGTTCTTCAGTTTTAACTGAAGTCTAAGGTGAATTTCCGTGACCAACGGAGTCATTCTGGTCAATACAGACCTCAATAAAAAGTTCCAGCTTCCTGGTGCAGCGTCACCCCATTATTTCCTGCATTTCTCTCTGTTTCTGAGAAAGTATCTTCTTGAAGAGTTGGTAGAACATCTACCCTCCAGCCTCAGGGGTTCCAGCCCAGCTGGTTCCTGGCCCTTGACGCCCTCTCCGCGCGCTTCCTGCCTCCTGAGCACCTCTAGGCTTCACCCAAGCCAGCCTCCCCAGGAGGGGCTGCCGTTCCTGTCCGTCTGTCTGGGAGCGCTCATCGCCTCCCTGGGATTCTGCTCATTCTCCTTTCTCCTCAGGGTCGGGGACATGGAGGACAAGGACCCATATCTTTGCAAGCACGTGTGTGACACAGAACAGAAACTCAGTGAGGCTGCTTTGTACTTACGGCCACCTGCTGAAGTGCCCAAGGAGGCTCCCAGCGAGGGAGTCTTGGTTGGGCGGCAGCTCTCACCCACCTTTTCACACCAGCCCCTTTCATCCAGGGGCGGCCCCATCTCCATTCTCAATCTGGAAGCTCAGGTGGAGCTTGTGCCCACGTCCCTGGCTGCACAGAGGGCAGGTGACCCAGGCCTGGCAGACCGGGGCACTGCACATGCCCAGCCACAGTGATTATCGCAGAGTTAGACGCATGAATCTCGCAGAGATTCAACCCGAGGACTTCTGCTGGAGCTGTTGAGAATGAAGCACTGTCTTGGCTGGGACCAGAAAACTGGGGTGTGAGCCAGGGCTGCGGGGGCCCCCAGGGAGGGGGGCCTGAGAATGAAAGCGAGGATAAAGCAGAGCAGAGCTAGGATCGAGACGGATGCCTGACATCATGTGCACCCTAGATCCAGTCATGCCTAAAGCCAGTCCTGCTCTGTGCTCTTTTGGTATATAATCCAATAAATTCCCAGCCGACTGGGCTTCTGTCATCTGCAACCGTGAATCTCAACTGATGCAAGTTTCGAGTCTTTCTCCCCATCCTTAGGCCTGATCAAGAGCACCTCAGGTGGTCATTCAATGTCTAAGTGTCAACTGACTGAGGACAGGTCCTGCCACCATCCTCCCCCCCTCCACAACACAGCTCCGGCTCTTACCCCATCTCAACTATCATTTCCAGAAAGATCTTATTTGTTATTCACAGAAAGAATTAGATCTCTCCATAACAGCTGGGCTTCAGAACATCCCAGATTTTCCTTCATAATACCTCTCACAGTTGGCAATTGCATACGCTTGGTTAAATTAAGTATTCTATGGGATGGCACACGTGTATAATCCAGTAACTCTGGAGGCTGAGGTAGGAGGACTGAAAGTTTGAGGCCAGCCTCAGCAACTTAGCAAGACCCTGCCTCAAAATAAGAAATAAAAAGAGCTGAGGATGTGGCTCTAAGGTAAAGCATCTGGGTTCAAACCCCAGTGTTGTGAAAATAAATAAATTAGTTAACTATATTTGTTTACCCCCAGAACTGCAAAACTCCACCAGGCCAGGTACTGTTTCATCTGCCACTGAATCCTCGGAGCCTGGAAAAATAGGTGCTCAGTAAATGGCTATTGGATTAATAAATACACTGACAACTCAGAAATCAATTATAAGACTATACCTTCCATGTTTCTCAGCTTGAATAAGACAGGTAGAACGGCAGCTCTTACTGAAATCTGGTGCATCCAAGGCTCCCACGAAAACCAACCCTGGAGAAGACTTGAAGTGGAATTCCCTCCTCCTGCAACTCCACCAGGGTTTTAGCCTATTGAACTTGATCAGAAAGCCCAACACAATTTGTGATTCATTACCAGGGACCTAGGCACGCCCTGAAGCAAATGTCAAATTTCACACATTTAATGAACTCCATACTTGAAATATGTGGCCTGTAAAATCTGACTTACAACTGCAGTTAAAATCCTTGGTGCCTAAAAAGGAATGTGAGAAGTATGTATTTGTGCTTAGAGAAGGGGCTTTTTTCCCCGAGATATTAATTCACTCCAAGGCTTATAAACGTTCCCGAAAGCATTATTTCAATTGCAATATTTCTTTCAGCACCTCAAATTTAGTTACCAACTTTTGAGAAGGGTGGTTGTGTCAGGTTACACGCGAGTGCCAATACGCCACCATGCAACTGTCAGCCCCCTGGAAGGCCAGGGAGTTGACAGCTGAGCTGCGACGGCCCCAAACAGGCAGAACCGAGCTTAGTCAGCACCATCATTAAACCTGCCTTAAGTCAATACCGCCGGCCACACGGCCTGGCACGGTGACTTTCTCCCCCGGTTCGGCCGCAGCCTGGTTTAGGGCTGCCAGCACCTGCTTCTTCTTGAGGTTCAGGACTTGATTGCCACCTTTGAGGTTGGATACCATGGGGCCCTGAGCTGCCTGGTGGGGTGACAGATGGCTTCCCATGGGATGCTCCATGGTGACAGCACAAACCAAATTTCAAGAGCATCTTCCAGACTGAAAAGGACCCCTTGATCCCGTTTTCCAGCCTATGGAGCCGGCTCTTGAGATGACAGAAGCTAGCAGACAGCGCCAGGGCCCTCCGATGGCCACGCCCCCCCACGGCCACACAAGACCAGGCTCAGTTCTGATTGGTCTTTATCCGTTCCCTTCTCACCAGTGATTGGCTTAGGGGTGGGCGTGCATCCCAGTACTGACCAATAAAATGTAAGAGGATTGGGGAAGGTTTTTCTAAGCGGTTGGAAGGAGACCACCTTGGGGAGAGCATCCTGGAAGCTGTAGAGTGTTTCTCTACAGCTTCCCTAGAGATTCTGGGAATCACCCTGGTGTGGACCTCAGTGCGCTCATCTGACAGAATAGGAGCTGGCAGTCTTGACCCAAGAGCTCAGGGGCAAAGTCAAGGTTGTCACTGTAGCGGGCCCGTGTTCCTCCTGGACCACCAGACTTCCATTGGCCCCTTCTTCTGAGGAAAACATAAAAACCCCTTCAAGGAACGCCCTCTTCTCCAGTCTTGGAGGCGTCTTAGAGAGCTGTCAGTCAAAAACGCCCGGCCATGTGACCCAAGCTCCGCCCACCAGGCTCTCACACTAGGAAGCCCACTCTTGAGTGATGCAAGGTGGGGTGATGGGGTAGGGGTTAGGGGACAAAGAAGCCCCAGGGGACCAAACAAGCTGCAGGGACCCAGTTCCAGGAGTGCTTTCTGCTACCTGCAACTCCAGCGTGTCCTTGTTCCCATCAGTTCCAGGCAACAATTCCAGCCTGCGGCAGCTCCGCATCCTGGCAGTAAACCCCCCACCCCCGATTTCTGCTTCATGCAACCAGGGCCTTAAGGGATACGAGAGGGTCCCCGCCCTGCATGCCACACAGCAGCTCCCAGCAGCTGTTATCCAAGGAGCGCGCACACACACACATACACACACACACACACACACACACACACACACACTGTACAGGCAAAAGATCCAAGCCCAGAGCAGCAATGTTTATCCTTCTTTCATAGCTAATAAGTTGCCAGGTCTAGGATGTCAGTGCTTCTTGTGTTCCTTGACTGTCAGTCCGTCCACTGAGTTTAAAGCTACTCAGCCTCAAAGATCCAGCAAGAACTCAAGACGATGCGGGTGGAAGAACGCCTGCGCTCCCCCTTTAGAGACGCAGTGCTCAGAAGTCTTGTCTTTGAGAGGCATTTCCTGGGGCCATGGAGATTCTCTTGAGAATCAAAGCCTTTCTCATGGATTGAGTCAGCCACCAAAAGCCACAGCCCTGGACTTGGAGAAGGAAACCAGTTGTACTTGGGCAAGCAGTGTGGTCTGGGAAAAGAGCCCATCCATGACATCTCTGGCTCTGGGAATCCACATGGAGCACAGTGGGTCCACTCTCCATGCTTACCTTCAAAGGTCAGAGGTCAGCTGCCTGGCATGGTGAGGGCAGGCTGAGGGGTTGAACAGATACCTTCCTATTAGGCCCACCCCATGACACTCATCAGCACCAGCTGCCTTTGCTCTAGTTTCTGTTCTTGGATGCTGTGAACTCTTCTGCCACAGGACACTTGTATGTGCCATTTCCTTTGCCTGGAACACTTTCCTGACATCTATAAACTCTAGCTTCTCTCATCTTGCAGATTCCAACTCAAAAGCCACTTCCTGAAGGACACTGTCCATGAGTGCCAAGTCTAAAATAGCCTCACACATTCCCCTAACCCAGCTCTGGCCAGTCTCTCTGGGGGCACCCTGATTTAATTTCACATAGAATTATTTCACAGTGCAATCAATTACCTTCTTGACTGTCTTCATTTATCATTTCACATGTATTGCATACCCATTACGTGCCCCCTTTTCCCAGGCACCCAGAATTGCATATAAAGCCCTGCAGAGTTTACAATTTTGTGAACAGGACTTGCTGAGGGGCTGAGGTGGGCACGGCTGCCACACCGGAGGGCACACTGGAGCAGGCTTGAAGGGGCTTTCCTCCCCCTAGGACAGATGCTCACTTCGCCCTTGAGAGTGGGGCCCACAAACGCCAAGGCCCACACATGCCCAGCACCGAGAAGCTGCCTGGCACCCAGTAGGTGCAATATAAATGCATATGTGATAGACGTCCATGGTGCCACCAGACAGCTCTGGGACTCTCTTCCCCAGGGTGACGACATCCCCGCAGTGACTCATGGTGTGAGGCTTGTACCCATCCTGAGTTGGCTCTGCTCATAATTAGAAGGTGGGAACAGCCACGGTGACAGCGGCCAGAGCGTGTGGCAATTCCCCGGGATGTAGGTCAGGGCTGGAGGGAGGACGGTCCCAGGAAGGAGGGGAGTCAGACAGAAGACAGACTGTGGTGCAGAGGAGGAGCTGCCTGGCCACAGCCAGGCCCAGGCAGGCTCCGCCATCACCTGCAAGTTGTGTGACCTTGAGCAGGTCACCAGCCTCAAAGTAGTTGATAGGAAAGACAAGGAGAGATGCCGTTGGGAAAGCACTGGGCACACAGCACCGCTGAGCCGGCCCCAGAAACCAGACTAGGAGTGAGCAGGTGCAAACTCACCCATCCAGCCCTGCAGGACTCAAAATAAGGACAATAAAGGAAAGGACAAGGGAAGCTGTGGGAGGGGACATCTTGCAAATCTAATATGTGACAACGTACCTGAATCTCCAGTAGGTGGAACTCTCAAAACTCGACAGTAAGAAAACAACCTGCAAAAGAACCTGGCACCGAGGCACACACCTGTCATCCAGCAGCTCAGGAGGCTGAGGCAGGAGGATCGCGAGTTCAAAGCCAGCCTCAGCAACAGCGAGGCACCTAGCCACTCAGTGAGACCCTGTCTCTAAATAAATTGCAAAATAGGGATGCGGCATGGTGGTCAAGTGCCCCTGAGTTCAATCCCCTGTAAACGCCCCCCCTCCCCCCAAAATGTGTGAAAGGCATAAACGGTTCACTTACGATGATGTGCTATTTCCAGAGGGTGGCAAAGGAGCACAGGAGGAGCTGGGCGATCTTATTAACCACTAAGGAAACGCAACTTACACCCGTGGAGAGCTGCCTCTGCTCACCTGTGAGTGTGGCTAAAGCAAGTTGTGGATAATACCGAGTGTAGACGAGAATGTGGCACCTCTGGAAGCCACCACACACATGGGGTAGCAGGCAGAACTGGTACAGCCACTCTGAAAATCAGTTGGCAGGGTTTTATAAATAGCTGTTGAGATATAAGTGACGTATGATAAAACCTACCCATTTAAAGAACATAATTCAACAGCTTTTAGGAAGTTCAGTGTTGCACAACCACCACAATGAAATTTCAGAACATTTTTATCACCCCAGAAAGTCATGCCGACATAATGGGAACCCATCAGCAGGCCCCAGTCTCCCTGTGTCCCCGACAATCACCCTTTCACTTTCTGCCTCTGTGGATCTGCCTCTTTGGGACATCTTATACTGCTCTGGAGGCCTGGCTCGACCAGCTTCTCTTAGTGTCGTCCTGTCTGCCCCGGCCTCCGGGCTGCTGGTGGACAGCGCTCTCCAAGGTGAGATGCCACGGAGGGCAGGACCCGCTCTGGTCAGGTTCCCGAGTCTTCCGGAACCTGCTCCTACTCAATGGCTCCCAGCCACTGAACCCAGTGCATTTCATTATGAGTATTTCACCAGAACTTTAAAAACAAAACAAAGAAATGCTCAACTGTCCAAAGGTTTGCTGAGCCCTCACCACGGGCCGGCCCTGGGCGGGCTACGGCGGACACTGGAAGCCAGGGGCTCCCACGGTGTCCCTCAGACCTGCAGGAGCAGGAGCCAGGAGTGAAGCCGCCTCTTGGCCAGGTGAGCTTGGGCCGCCTCCTCCCCTCTCCCCTCGAGCTTTGGGGTTTATTTTGTTAAACTCAAGAAAATTCTGCCTCCAGTTCTATTAACAAATTTAAAATATATATATTTTAAAAAATAGCTTCCAACGATCTGCCATTCCTGCTGTCGCCTGCAACCTCCCTCCTGCGACTGGGCGCGTGGGCTCTGGGGCGGGCGCCCTCTGCTCGCTCCTGTGGCTCCGTGTCCTCCCAGCCACCGAGGGGCGTGTGCTCCAGGTGGGGTCTCCTGGCACCTCGGTGACAGGGCCACCTCCATGTGGGCGCACGGACAGGACCTCAGGACCCAGGACAGCAGGCTGCTGCCTCCCCACTCAAGCTTCCGAATCCTCTGAGAACCCTGAGCAGCATTTGGGGAAAACAGGCCGCGAACCCATTTTGAAGGACTTCTGAGCCCGGGAGAGACGGCGCCTGCTCATCCACCACCTCCCTCGGCCCAGAGGCCTCAGTGAGAGGAGCTACGGCCATTTCTCCAAGCTCTGCCTCGTTTCTGATCCTCAGAAGCTCAGAGACTTTAAGGAATTGGCCCCACTAGTCCCCAGCTAGTGAGTGGGGGAACTGGCACCCAAGCCAGGTCTGTCCCCACCTCACCCAGGCCACCGACACGCCACCCAGGCTGCCCACCCCAACTCCAGCACGTCCCCCCAATGTGACATCGCCTCCATTCCCGCTCCCGCCCCATCAGGACCAGGAAGAAAGGTAGCGCTGCCATTGCCTGGTGTCTTTTCCAGCCCGAGGGGGCCATGGCAGAGCAAAAGTCTCCCCGTCGGCAGCCGGCAGCCCGCTCGAGAATGTTCTTTGGCCCGATTTCCCCCAAATTCTGGTGGTGATGAGCTGCCTAATAAAATTATGCTAAGTTATGTGCATAAAGAGCAGCATCTTAAACCCTAATTACTGGCCACGTCTTTGAAGAATGCCTGGGCAATTTCCAGGCTGATCAACTCACCTCTCGTTGGGCCTGATTAGCTGTCGGGGCCTCGTTCAGCCGCCGCCCCCCCACCCCTCTGCATCAGCAGGGCTCTGGTTGTCATTAGCTCCTCAGATTGCCTTTTTAAAAATCTGTTTCGC